CCCCAGGACCTCTTTGTTGGCTGCTCCTCTGCTTTCTCCAACTGAGCTACAACATCTGCTGCACATGCATCCTGCCGAGAGCATTTGGACCCACCACTGCAGCATGGACCACCTTAGACTGGTACTGCAGGCATCCTCAGCTGGCTCTGGCCAACTTTGCAGGACCTCACTGTCCATACAGCCTTTGTGGGTAACAGAAAAAAAAATTGAGACTCCCTGTGTGTGGCCGTGTCTCCCTCCTGCATCCCAGCCTGCGACGAGCTGTAGTCGGATGGGGACAGGTCTACCCTCTGAGAGCGTTGGCTCTGATGGACAGGTATTTTCATGGCAGTCAGGAATAACTCGGAGAGGAGGAAGGATTTCAGGATCTGCAGCTTTCCCATAGGAGAAAAATACTATTTAAGCACCAACCTGCAACAACCCATCAGATCTCCAGCTACTCCGCAGCAGCTGGGACACCCCGGGGGTGGCTCTAATTGCTAAAGGAGCAAATCAACTTCCTCACGACTCTCATCATCCAGCCCATTACAGCTCCACGCAAGGTGTTATGAAATTACTGCTGGAAAGAGAAAAACCAGCATATGAGTCACTAAGTCATTGACTAATCTTCCTTCTCAATGAGCATTTGGCATCCCGACGAGGAGAAAAAAAGGATTGCAGAAGAAAATTGTACACGTGTGAAGTAAAAGGTAAACTCTTTTTTTTTTTTTTTTTTTTTTTAACAGCTTTATAGGTGAAAGCAGCAGCAGAGAGCCCCCTCTCACCACTGCTGGGCTCTTTGAGTCAGGTCCTGGGTCTAATTAATCAAGTGGTAGGGTATAGTCAGTCACAGAGTTTGCACACGTGGTGGTCATTAACTAAATCTGGTAACTGGTTAAATGAACACACTTGGGTCAGGGAAATACAGTGACGGACTGATGTAGATTTTAAGCAATCACAGACAAAAGGCAGAGCCCCAGGAGTGGCAGAGCAACGACCCGAAACCTCGCTTCTGGCGGGGAGGCTGGAGCTGCTTCACACTTTAAATATGCAACAGCATATCAACAAGAGTTTCTCTTCCTTGCTCTCAGAAGACCAGCGGTGAAGGAAACGAGTTGTCCTGTAGTTCAACTTCAGCTTAAACTGTAACCCTGGAGGCACAAAACTGTCAGATGTCCCCACTTCACTCCTCTGTGCTTTCTTCATGTTCATCCCGGGATGACCCTGTCCAGAGCACCCCCTGCAAGGGAGTGCTTGTACCCATTCTTGTACCCAGACTTGGCCAGGGTGTAAAGGGACTTGCAGGAAAGGGTCCTTGGGCTCTCCAGAGTCTGGGTAGTGCCCCCTTCTTCCCACTGTTCCCAGTTTAACCGCCCAAATCTCATCCCTTTTCCTAAGCTTGCTCAGCCGTGGGGCAGGGAGTTGTGGCTGTCTTGTCTTGAAGTGCCAGTCATCCTCCAGCCAGGTCTCTGCCAGCCATGGAAGAGGTTGTACACCTCCTAGCAATGTTGGCATGCCTGGAGTACCTGGAGCTGCTACTTCTGCTGGATGTTTTTGTTCCTGGCTCAAGGACTAGGGACTTTTCTTCTAACTGTGTTGGTTGCGTGAACCAAACCGTGCCAGCTCTGACGCCACCTCCTCCTAGTTCCTGGATTTTCCAGGTATTGTTTCTATAGCTTTTCCAAAAATTCAGCAATTTTTCTGCTCCCTGCCACCCTGGGGTCAAAGCATTTGCCCAGAAGCTGTGTGATATAATACTTTGTGTTATACACCTTTGATGACTAGCCACCTTCAGCCTCTCAGGTGTTCCATCTGTTATTGTTCTTCTGCAGTAGCTCCAGCTGAATAAAGAACTCATTTTCTCAGTTAAGAGAATAAGAGGAGTGGAAATTCACATGAAAGACACACCTCTTCCAGGAAACCATTACCTGAAGCAAGCAATGGAGGAACCATGGTGCAAGACCCATGCAGTGGTGGCAGCAGTTGCCCTGTCAGGGGCTGGACACTCACTCCTTTGGCTGTCACATCAGTCCCCAGAGCACACCAGCACAAGGCTGTGACCTTGCAGGAGTACATTATGGTCCTTCTCACGGCAGGGACAGCCTCTCTGTGTGCCAGCACTGCAGCTCCCGTCGCTTCCGTGCACGTCTTCTGGGAAAGCACTCTCCCAGGTGGAGAAAGGGACTTTGTGGGGAAACATTTTCACTTTTTCCAGCCTTTGGAGGATGGTGGTGAGCAGGTGGCCCTCACCCACAGCCCACCCTTTCTCCCCAAAGCGCTTATCTCCCTGTTTGCATCCATGCAGAGACTCGTCTCCTCTTCTGGGCACTTTCTTACTCTTTCCATACTCCCTGCTCCTAGGTCATCACTTGACACAAATCATCCTAAAAAAACACTTCGCTGATGCACAGCAGCCAGGCTTTGGTGCCCCTGGGCATCCCTACACAGTGGGTCACCCTCCTTCTCCTGTTGGGTGCCTGTTTTATGGTCCAGCTGGGCTGGCTGGTGATCAGCTCACACCAGATGGAGTTTGTTGCAGCACCTGAGATGCTGCATGGTACCCCCCACACCAGAAAACAACACTGTTTTCATGGCCCATTTCCCACGGCCTGCTTGCCTAATGTGGATCTCCCTCTCAAAAACTACAACAGGAGGGAAGGACTCTTGTCCTTTCCTCCAACAGGAGGAGAGGCGCCTTGTGCTGGGTCCGCTTGAGATGGATGTGCTGCGTGCACAGAGGATAATTTCTTTGGCTCTACCCCAAACGGAGAGTTTCGCTGTGACTTTTGACAGCCTTTCAGCCAGGTCTCAAAGTCCAGCGAAGTGGCTGGATGAAAAGCCATGGGAAGTTGAGCTCCAAGGATAGAGACCACTTTCCAAGCTCATGTGGCTGCGCCTTGGTACGTAGCTGCTCTGAGTGAACAAATTGCACAGAAAAGATGAAATTTGAGGATCTCTTGCTGGAAATTGGCAGCTTCGGCAGATTCCAGATTTTGATTTTGTTTATCCTCTGCCTCCCAAGAATCAACCTTCCCATGCATTTTCTGCTGCACAATTTTCTTGCTGCTACTCCCTCTCATCACTGTGCGGTTCCACACCAAGAGGCATTTGTGAACCTCACCGTGGAGGAAGTTCTGCTCATCAGCATCCCCCAGGAGCCTGATGGCACTTTCAGGTCCTGTGAGATGTTCTCGCAGCCTCAGTTTCACCTGCTGCTCAATTCCTCTCTGCAACCAGAAAACGACTCCATCATTCAGCCCTGCCAGCACGGATGGGTCTATGACCACTCGCAGTTCGCCTCCACCATCTCCACCCAGGTAACACTTGGCCTGTGATCTAGCTGGAAATGTGTTTTGAGGAGCAGATGGAGAGGTATTCACTGGGTGCACAGAATCAGGGGCGAATCTTAGTGTTTTAACTAGTGGGAACGACTTGTTCGAGAAGATTTCCTGAAACAGGAAAGATCTCTGAAGCTCAGAGTAAGAAGCTAACATTTATTTTTATTATTGTTATTATTATTATTATTATTATTATTATATTGTTATTGTTACTATTACTCTTGCTTATATTGATCCTTAGAAACCAACATTTCTTGTTATAAGCATTTTAGTTTCTCCAGGTGATTGAGAGATTGGGGGGGTGGGGTGAAGACACACATACAGTTTTTTCATAGAATCATAGAATTGTCCAGGATGGAAGGGACGTCCAAAGGTCATCTAGTCTGACCTGCAGATTTTCTCTGCTTGGGCCACACGGCACTTCTGCAGGATGTGGTATATGAGCCCATGACTTGCTTTCTTGTTTTTCCAAACACTTTGTAACCTCTACACCCTTGGCCGCCCCCTCCTCAGTGATCTCCATCTTCCCCCTCTTCTCCCCAGGATCCTGCTGCCTCTCTTCCCACCGGTGTCTCTTGCTGTCAAGGTGTTCTCTTGCTCATTTCCTCGGTTAAGAGAGTAAGAGGAGCGGAAATTCACATGAAAGACACACCTCTTCCAGGAAACCATTACCTGAAGCAAGCAATGGAGGAACCATGGTGCAAGACCCATGCAGTGGTGGCAGCAGTTGCCCTGTCAGGGGCTGGACACTCATTCCTTTGGCTGTCACATCAGTCCCCAGAGCACACCAGCACAAGGCTGTGACCTTGCAGGAGTACATTATGGTCCTTCTCACGGCAGGGACAGCCTCTCTGTGTGCCAGCACTGCAGCTCCCGTCGCTTCCGTGCACGTCTTCTGGGAAAGCACTCTCCCAGGTGGAGAAAGGGACTTTGTGGGGAAACATTTTCACTTTTTCCAGCCTTTGGAGGATGGTGGTGAGCAGGTGGCCCTCACCCACAGCCCACCCTTTCTCCCCAAAGCGCTTATCTCCCTGTTTGCATCCATGCAGAGACTCGTCTCCTCTTCTGGGCACTTTCTTACTCTTTCCATACTCCCTGCTCCTAGGTCATCACTTGACACAAATCATCCTAAAAAAACACTTCGCTGATGCACAGCAGCCAGGCTTTGGTGCCCCTGGGCATCCCTACACAGTGGGTCACCCTCCTTCTCCTGTTGGGTGCCTGTTTTATGGTCCAGCTGGGCTGGCTGGTGATCAGCTCACACCAGATGGAGTTTGTTGCAGCACCTGAGATGCTGCATGGTACCCCCCACACCAGAAAACAACACTGTTTTCATGGCCCATTTCCCACGGCCTGCTTGCCTAATGTGGATCTCCCTCTCAAAAACTACAACAGGAGGGAAGGACCCTTGTCCTTTCCTCCAACAGGAGGAGAGGCGCCTTGTGCTGGGTCCGCTTGAGATGGATGTGCTGCGTGCACAGAGGATAATTTCTTTGGCTCTACCCCAAACGGAGAGTTTCGCTGTGACTTTTGACAGCCTTTCAGCCAGGTCTCAAAGTCCAGCGAAGTGGCTGGATGAAAAGCCATGGGAAGTTGAGCTCCAAGGATAGAGACCACTTTCCAAGCTCATGTGGCTGCGCCTTGGTACGTAGCTGCTCTGAGTGAACAAATTGCACAGAAAAGATGAAATTTGAGGATCTCTTGCTGGAAATTGGCAGCTTCGGCAGATTCCAGATTTTGATTTTGTTTATCCTCTGCCTCCCAAGAATCAACCTTCCCATGCATTTTCTGCTGCACAATTTTCTTGCTGCTACTCCCTCTCATCACTGTGCGGTTCCACACCAAGAGGCATTTGTGAACCTCACCGTGGAGGAAGTTCTGCTCATCAGCATCCCCCAGGAGCCTGATGGCACTTTCAGGTCCTGTGAGATGTTCTCGCAGCCTCAGTTTCACCTGCTGCTCAATTCCTCTCTGCAACCAGAAAACGACTCCATCATTCAGCCCTGCCAGCACGGATGGGTCTATGACCACTCGCAGTTCGCCTCCACCATCTCCACCCAGGTAACACTTGGCCTGTGATCTAGCTGGAAATGTGTTTTGAGGAGCAGATGGAGAGGTATTCACTGGGTGCACAGAATCAGGGGCGAATCTTAGTGTTTTAACTAGTGGGAACGACTTGTTCGAGAAGATTTCCTGAAACAGGAAAGATCTCTGAAGCTCAGAGTAAGAAGCTAACATTTATTTTTATTATTGTTATTATTATTATTATTATTATTATTATATTGTTATTGTTACTATTACTCTTGCTTATATTGATCCTTAGAAACCAACATTTCTTGTTATAAGCATTTTAGTTTCTCCAGGTGATTGAGAGATTGGGGGGGTGGGGTGAAGACACACATACAGTTTTTTCATAGAATCATAGAATTGTCCAGGATGGAAGGGACGTCCAAAGGTCATCTAGTCTGACCTGCAGATTTTCTCTGCTTGGGCCACACGGCACTTCTGCAGGATGTGGTATATGAGCCCATGACTTGCTTTCTTGTTTTTCCAAACACTTTGTAACCTCTACACCCTTGGCCGCCCCCTCCTCAGTGATCTCCATCTTCCCCCTCTTCTCCCCAGGATCCTGCTGCCTCTCTTCCCACCGGTGTCTCTTGCTGTCAAGGTGTTCTCTTGCTCTCCAAGGGCCTCCTGCTGAGTTGCAGCATGCTGGCCAGCCCTAACCTTGAGCCTGCCCAAGGTCCCTGCCCATCAAACATTAACCACCTGCCTTCTGAAACACTTTGCTAGGGCTGACAGTGATACCTCTGGGTGTTAATGCTTTACCTTCCTTGAAAAGCAGCCCAAATCACAGGAGGTCTCGGAGAAGGGGACAATTTGGTCAGACAAAAAGGGCACGTTTGGCTTGGAAATGGTTGCAGCTGACTGTCTCAGCGAGAGCAGGGCCAAGTCTTAACCCGGAGCTGATGCTTCCCCCCAACCACCCTGCTTTCATCAGACGTGGAGGTGAGGGTCCCGGTGTGTACCAGGTCTGTACCTGGCACTGTTTCAGGGAGAAGGGTGTGAAGGACCCCCAGGGGAAGAGGCCAGGGGGGTGCTCCTGCAGCCAGGATGCTGATCACGGAGCCTCATGGTGCTGCACCCATGGTGCGGTGGCCTCGGGACATGTTGAAGGCAGGGCTTTCTCTGGAGTCTTTTGCTCTTCCAGCAGGAAAGGTTGCTCAAGGTCTGGCTGGCCTCTCCAGAGAGGCTGGGTTGATGATTAAACTAAGTTTTGCCAAGTCTGCACATACAGAAAATTAACTCCGCAGCTCAGCCACAGCATTCTGTAATGATTAGCGACATTTGCACCTCCAAGAAAGTAAAATGATGCTCATTAACTCGATTAGGAAGACTGTCTAGACCAACTTCCCAGTAAGAAACCAGTAAGTTACCATCAGGAGCAAGCATTTGGTCTGACTCCCCCTCTGCCCTCCTTCCTCCCTGCAGGGACTGCTTCAAAGGAAACTGGTCAGGGTAGCAGGAACGGGATATCAACACCACGTTCCCTAAGGAAGGCTGGGGCACGTCTTACAGCCCACAGCAGTGCCAGCACCCTGCAAATGCCCACTTTAACCTGGACAGTCCCAGGGCATGACAGAGGGAGCTGGGCAGACACATACCCGGGCAGGTTGAGAGCAGCTTTCACAGGAGAGGGAAAAGGGGATGTCTCCATGATTAGTTTTACCCAGGAAAGCTTTCTGATCACAGAATCATAGAGTAGTTTGGGTTGGAAAGGACCTTGAAGATCATCTAGTTCCAACCCCTGCCATGGGCAAGGACACCTCCCACCAGACCAGGTTGCTCAAAGCCCCATCCAGCCTGGCCTTGAACCTCTCCAGGGATGGGGAAGCCACAGCTTCTCTGGGCAACCTCTTCCAGTGCCTCACCACCCTCACAGCAAAGAATTTCTTTCTGGTATCCAATCTAAATCTCTCCTCTTCCAATTTAAAACCATTCCCCCTTGTCCTGTCACTGCACTCCCTGACAAAGAGTCCCTCCCCAGCTCTCCTGGAGCTCCCTTCAGATCTTGGAAGGCTGCTTGAAGGTCTCCCCGGAGCCTTCTCTTCTCCAGGCTGAACAACCCCAGCTCTCTCAGCCTGTCTTCACAACAGAGGTGCTCCATCCCTCTGATCATCTTCGTGGCCCTCTGCTGGACCTGTTCCAACAGGTCCATGTCCTTCCTGTGCTGAGGACACAGAGCTCCTGGTGGGGTCTCACCAGAGCAGAGCAGAGGGGCAGAATCACCTCCTTTGACCTGCTGGCTGCACTTCTCTTCATTCAGCCCAGGATGTGGTGGTCTTTCTGGGCTGCCAGCACGCACTGCCGGCTCATGGTGAGCTTCTCATCCATGAGCACCCCCAAGTCCTCCTCCTCAGTCCTTTCTGATGTCCAACAAGTGATCACAGAGAGGCTGTCACAGTGGGGACAGATAACAGGGAGCTTTGTAAGATGCAACTTTACATTTCTCAGGACTCCAGCACTGCAGTTTAGTGCAGGATTCTACCCCTCCATCAGCTTTGGCCGATATAAATTGCAAGACGCCAAGGCCAACCACCAGAGGAAAGGGGCATGAAAGGGCAGCAGAGACTGAACTGGGCACTAAGTGTCATTTTGTGTGGCTTTGTGTTTCAGTGGGACCTCGTGTGCGAGCAGCGTGGACTGAACCAGGCGACAGCAACCTTCTTCTTCATTGGCGTGACGATGGGGGCCGTGGTCTTCGGATACCTTTCAGACAGGTTTGCCCCCTTTCAGGCTGTTTCTCCCATTCCACAACGAGAAGTTCACAAACCTGTGACCCGCGAAGGGCAGTTGGAGGGGCAGAGAAAGGAGAAAACATAATCATAAAGGGACAATCCAGCCTCTCACATGATAATTGGATTAAAGTCATCCTGGGAAGCGATGCCTTGCCTAAATTAATGGAGCAGCCAGTTAGCAGCCCACCAGAGCAGTAGCTCTGGCCTTGGTCAGGAGTCAGTTGCTGCAGGAACAGTAAAAACTGAAAAAAATCCCCTGTCTGTGACACTGTTTTTGGAAAAGACAACTGTCTAAAAAAAAAAAAAAGGGAGAAAGCTGGTTAACCAGGTGAATGTCAGTAAACTGCCAGGAGCAGGGAGTGCTCATTCTAGAGCCCTATGGGGATGAAAAAGCTGGAATGCTGTTGGCATTGTGTGACCTCCAGAGCAGGGAGCTGGTAAGGTATCACCTATCAAACAGTTTTTAAACTGGTGTCCAAAAAAGATCTCAGGCACTATGTGCCAGGCAGACAGACATCTATCTGTAGGGGGAAAATTAGTAGAAACTCTTCTGAAAGATTGAGTCAGTGGCCACACGGGTAGATATGAGATGCCAGTGAAAAATCAGTGGGGTATTTTCAAAGGATTCATGCCTTACCAACATAGTGGGTTTCTCGAAATGTCCTAACAGGCGTGTGAATAGGGGAGATGCCATCTACATGGATTTCAAGAAGTTTCCTTACAAAAGACTGAGAAAGGAAGAAACTGGGCTGCCCTAGGATAAGAAGGAAGGTCTCTGCATGACTAAATAATTGATTAAAAGCCAGGAAGGAGTTGTAAGCGTTTGCTTTTGATGATGGAGTGAGACCTATGGGGACCTGGGATTGGATCTGTGTGCTTTTCAGCACATTTATAAATTATCTGGAAAAGAAGCGAGTGGGAAGTTGTTTCTGAGTGACCCTACCAGGCTGGTAGCATGAGTTCTGAGTGAGAAGAACTGCAGAAGGAGCTTAAAAAGCTGTGACTGGATGGGAGCATCAGAAGACAGATAGATTAATCTAAAATCAAGATAGATTAATCTAAAATAAAGGGAGAAGCAATTCTAACTTCTCATTTAAAACTGAAGACTCTGAGCTGACCACAGCTGCTCAGGTGCAAGATTTGGGGATTATGATAGACAGCTGCAGGCAAACATCCACTCAGCAATGAGTGGTGGCTGGGGAAGCAAATGGAAAATTAAGAATCATTAGGAAAGGAATATAAAATTAAAGAGAACATCACTATGCAGTAACATGTAAATGCATGGTGGCCCCACATCTTGAATATCGAGTGCAGTTTTGACTTCCCTTCACCCTCCTTCCCCATCTTAAAAGGATACAGAAGCAACAGAGAAAATTGGGAGCAGCTAACAAAAAAAAGACCAAGTTATGGCTTGGCTTCCAATTAGCCAGAGCAGGACCCTTCAGTCTACTGACGTGATGGCTAACGAGGGTTTGACAGCAAGCTGTGCCCTCGTAAGCAGCCAGGAGCAGAGCTGACTGTGCACTGCCCACCTGAGCCACCTGGCCACGGGGCCCACAGGTCACATCAGGAGAGGTTTGCAGCCCCTGTGATCACAGCGAGGACAGTGCATCCAGTAGATCTGCAGTAAATTCATTAAAACTTGGGC